CACCTCTTCCAGCAGCAACCCAGTTTTTCCAGTGCTGGAAACTTAAGTTGCTTGCCTAGATCTACCATAATCTGCCAGTCCTGTGCAGTAGAAAGTAGACCTGGCTGTGGTTTCAGCTGCTCTCCTGCCTTGACAAATGTTATCTGCTTCCTGGGGGGAGAGTGGGGCCTGCTTTTTGTAATGGCTGATGATACATTCTCAACAACTGCCTTCAGCACTTTGTCACGGCGCCACCGGTAGTGACCCTCCCCTAGGGACTTCGGACAGCTGCTCAAGATATATTTGAGTGTCCCTCTCCCAGAGCAGAGTGGGCAGGAAGGTGTGTCATCCTTGCCCCACAGCTGGAGGTTTGCAGGGCTCGGTAAGATGTCATATACAGCTTGGATTAGGAATTTTATGCGCTGGGGCTCTGCTCGCCAGATGTCCGTCCAAGTGAGCCTTCGTTCCATTGCACTCTCCCATCTCATCCAAGCTCACTGCTGCTTCATGCCTGCCATCCTGTGGGTTCTTTCCTCGTCCATTACTGCTTTTACCTCTTCCTCGACAAGCAGTCACCTCTGCTTGCCCTAGACTTGTGTTCTACTAAGGCATTGGAAATCTGCCCAATCCCAATCTTCCCATTGCAACTGCTCCCATCACAGCCTTGTCCCTCAGCCTCGCTTCTACCATCTCCAGCTCCCTAATAGCACTCCATTTACTGCTGGTCTAGATCTCAATGTAGTGCTTCTCTAGTATGGGAGACTTTAAACTCTTCTGTTTAAAGCTGTTGGAAGGAAGCTACAGAATGTTATTTTTCCCATAGAGAGCAGCACTGCTCGGACTGTGTGGTAAGCCAAGCCACCTGTGAAGGTATTCACTGATTCACCTCTTCATTTTCTCCACTGATGTAATGGGCACATCATAAACTAGCAAAGGCCAGAGGATCCAAGACAGGATGCCATATTGGTATACCCAGAACTTGAATTTCCCAGGCAGTCCAGGCTTATCCACTTTGCTGAGCCAGGACCGCAGCTCCTTTATGGATGTCTGGATGGCTGCCACATCTCTGAGACTGTGGTCAAAAAGTTTTCCCAAACTTTTTACTGGCTTCACCTTCATAGATGGAATCTTGGTACCATCCAGGGAGAAGTGGAACTTGTCTGAAACTCTGCCTCTCTTCAAAACAAGTGACCTTAACTGGTATTCCCAGAGTTCTGCATTTTTGCACTGAGGTGTCAATATAGTTGTTCCTGAGCAGAAAGTTTGTCAGCTGGCAGTGTAGGATGTCGAAGAAGATCTTGCCTTCGACACTAAGCAGCGAGCTCTAAACTTCTCAATGTCTTTGGAATTCTCCTCCTTGGGAATCCAAACCCCCTAAGCAAACCACCTGCGCCAGATTGTTCACAGTAGCTTCCAGTGAAGTTGGAGTAACTCTGGACAGTGTTTGTACACTTCGTAAGGAACTTCACTTGGTCCGGGGACTAAGCTGGCTCCATCTGTTTTCATCATCTCCTGCACAACTTTCAGGCTTGGCTCCCTCATGTCAAAGCTGACCTCTGGGGATGGTTGACCAATGAGGGCTCTCTAGTTTTCCAAATCCTGTTCTCTCATAGGATCATGAAGGGTGGCATGGAGGAACTGATCTACCTCTTCCTTGGAACATGTGAGATGTCCAGTGCGCTTGCTATCGAGCAACTCCCTTGTGAAACCAAAAGGGTTGGCAATGAAAGCAGCCCATCACCTGGTTCTCTCCTTGCCCCTTCCCTGTGCCACTCTGCTCTCCACAGGGCCAAGACCTTTCTCCTTAGGATTGTGTTGTGGTTTCTCCTCTTCCTCTGCATTCTTGTACTGTTTTGTGATGGCCAAGGAAGATGCCACTTATGGGGACTATGTTAACCTGGAGGAGTACTCAGCGTCTGTGACTGGCTAAATCAGTAAGTGCACAGAGGATGTCACTCTCATCAAAACCATCATTATAAGGGCAAACGAGAAACTCTGGATGACCGGTGATGTCCGGTAGCTACTGAAAGCCAGAGATGCTTGATTCAGATCTGGTGACAAGGCAGCCCTCAGCACGGCGCGAGCTAACCTGTCTTGAGCAATCAAAACAGCAAAACATGCATATGCCCAGAATATCCAGGGGCATTTTCAGAACACAAAGCACAGAGTCTGACAACATAACTGGCCAGGTGCAAACCAGCTGGCTGAAGTTCTCCCAGATGACAACACCTCCCTGAGCCAAGCAATCATCCCATCCATGCAGTTATTATGAAGGGCTTTGAGAGGCTCATCATGAACCGTATCAAAGCCAGCCTCTCCAGCCCCTTGGACCCTCACCAGTTTGCCTACCGCCCTAACTGGTCCACTGGAGATGCCGTATCAACTGCACTTAACCTATCACTGACACACCTGGAAAAGAGAGACTCACATTTGAGGTTGCTGCTCATTGATTTCAGCTCAGCTTTCAATACCATAATCCCACAGAGGCTTTTGTATTACATCTAGATATACACTAGATGCACCTGGATTGTTATGGTTGCTGTCTATTGCCCACTGTCTGCACTTTAGATAAGCCTTATTGTGTGGTATAGTTATTGTGTATTGTTACTGCTATATGTGCACTGTGATAATGGAGGAATGCTGTTTCATCTCATTATATAATTGTACACAGTTGTTGATGACAATAAAGTGAACCTTACCTTACCGTTTACAGTAAACTCAGCACTAGCATGTATACTGTACTGTATGTGAAGCAGCACATATCTACAAAGTACATCATACTGTGTTATTTACTAAATTGGGTGTAGTCTATTTTCACTTTGCATAGAGAATTTTTGAACTTGACTCAATGGAGAGGCCTCATGAGTACATCTTCATGGATGAAGCTGGATTCAGTCTGGCAAAAAAGAAAATGAGAGGTCACAACATAATTGGTTCACATGTCATGATAGAAGAAATGTGACCATATGTGCTGCCATCAGCAGCTATGGAGTCATCCTTCGCCATGTTACTGTTGGCCAATACAACACTAAACATCTACTAACATTCCTGGATGGTCTACGGGATGCTTTGCTTGGACATGAGCAGAGAAGTCATGACCAGGCAGAGCATTGCATTGATATGATCATTTGGGACAATGTGAGCTTTCACCGTGGTCCAAGAATATGCGATTGGTTGAACAATAACCAGCATTTTATTAATGTTTGCCTTCCACCATACTCTCCCTTTTTTAACCCTATTGAGGGATTTTTCTCAGCATGTTAATGGAATGTGTAATGACAGAAATCTAAACAAGCAATGGATGCATAATGTGATGATGTAGAAGCAGAATCTTGCCAAGGCTGGATTCGGCATGCCAAAGGATACTTTCCATGTTGTTTTGCAAGGGAGAACATTGCATGTGATGTAGATGAAGTCCTCTGGCCCGACCCGGTGCAGAGGCATGATGCCAAGGCAGAATTAATGACTAATTCTGCTGTAAAAATGTAAAATCAATTTTGTTTTTGCTGCAGGTTTTTTTTTTAATGTAAATAAGCTTTCATAAGTACATGAATATCCAAAATAAAGATTGTTTTCATGTTATCCCAGAAGGTTTTCAATTTATTTATGTAGTGTGTAAGTCACTGAGTAGTGTTTATACATTGGCTGGTTTTGTGTGTTTTCTGACAGTACTGCTTCATTTTGAGTAAAGCTAAAATAGTTTATGTCCAATTGTTTGATTTTGCGAGACATGCGAGGTTTTGTGAGAGTAGCTTTAATTTTACGGTTTGTGCTTAGTGTACTAAGAAATGGAAAGGAGATTTTAGGAAATGCGTTTCAGCAATTAAAAAAAACTGTAACGACTTCTAAACCAGAGAATTGGTGCTTGTCAGGGTTTCCTCACGACTTCAGCCTATTATCTACTGTAAGTAGTTGCAAGGAGACAACAGACTGAGCTGCACAGCAACACTATTCATCGCTGAAAATAAAGTGTTTATGCCTCATGTAACATTATTAAGCTCAGAGATCACTTTTCCCTTAGCTACAGTGATAAAAAAAAGTTACGCAGTCAGATGGAGTGGTGGAAATTAAATGAATCTGCACGTGCTGAAAGGTCGTGTGACTATCGCAATGATTATTCAGATCAAACGGATATTATTAGATCAAACGGGCAACAGTTGGCAGTGTGGGCACACTGCTGGTCCCATGTCAGTAGGGTGTGGCATCCCCCCCCCGGGCCTGGATACGTGCGCCGATACAGTGCAGAAGGGAGTCGTACAGTTGTTGTATCCTCTCCTGCGGCAAGGTGGCCCACAGCTGTTGTAAATTGCCCTTGATATCCTGCAGACGGGCACTGGGTCTGAGTTAATGTCCGAACTGATCCTTGATTGGGGAAAGATTGGGGGACCTGGTTGGCCACGGGAGGACCTCAACATGACACAGGCAGTCCATAGACACACGTGCCCTGTGTGGACAGGCATTGTCTTGGTGTATGACATCTCAGGAGGGGTAAGACATGCGGATGCAGGATGTCACTGATGTAACACTGTGCCGTCAGGGTCCCCCGAATCACTACCAGAGATGACCCGAAGTTATATCATATGGCTCCCCACACCATGATGCCAGGAGTAACACCGGCGTGTCTCTCCACAACATCGGCAAGACTGGTCCTCTCCCCTCAGCGCCGCCATACGTGCACACAACGGTCACCCGTAGTAATGCAGAACCAAGAGTCATCGCTGAACATGGTACAATACCACTTGTTCATCAGTCCATGCCTCCCAGTTACGGCATCACTCCAAACATAGGCATCTGTGCTGGTGTTAATGGCAGCTTATGCATGGGACGGTGAACCCGTAGTCCAGCTGTTGCCAGTCGTCGAGACACGGTGCAGGATGACGCAGGGTGTTGTAGAGAGTCCAATACCTGTGTCTGGACGGCAGGTGCAGATGTCATGGGGTTCTGTAATGCTTGGCGCACAATACGACAATCCTCCCTTGGTGTGGTCTGTCTTGGGCAGCCAGAACCTTCACAATGTGTGTGGGTGCCCTCACGTGCCCATTGGTTCCAACATCGGGCAACTACGCCATCTGCATGCCCCACATGCCGGGCAATTGCACAATATGATCGTCTGGCCTCATGCAAACCCACAATGCGGCCCCAATCAAACTCTGTCAATTGCTAGTAATGAGGTTTATTGTGTCTACGAGGCATCCTCTGTGTCTGGTGATTAGATGCACCAGCTCCTTGCAACCAGAATCATTTACGGGTGACCAATCTTGCCGATGTTGTGGAGAGACACGCCGGTGTTACTCCTGGCATCATGGTGTGGGGAGCCATATGATATTTACATCACTGGTCTGCACGTGTACCAAATTACATCCAAATCAGACCATTACTTCTGGGTGCTTAGCTTCTTTTCCCAGATGGCACAGGGCACAATGTTGGGGTACACCCTGGGTGGCACTGATTGGCTGGTACAGTGCAAAATGGGAATGACTATATGTAAGTCAGCTTCCGCATCGTGACTTTCCCCATCGTGGTTTCGGCACAAGAAAATAAATGGAAATTTTTAGGAGTTTTTGGGAGCTTTGCAAGAGTCACAGATGACATGCAAAGGCCAGCAGATGACAAACAAAAAAGTTTAGCAACTCATAAATATATTAAATATACGGACAGCGCTGGTTTGGAGGACACCAAGTGTGTTTATGGCAGCCTCTCATGTGATATCGCGCAGTGATCTTTGAATCTTGCATTTCTCATACCTTTTTGTGCCACTCGCATGCTCACTTACAAAAAATGTATGTGATGTTTCCAGATCATGGTGGACCTGCGCCCCTAACCCCTGCAATGTGGAATGGTTGACTGTACATTGGGGCCCCATCTTAATACTGTAAACTGTAGTTCAGACCCAACATTCACTAAGAAAGTGAGTAATAACTGAGTATTAACAATCAATGACACTACTTTTACAGGTAACGCAATTATATGCCAGGTTTTATAGACAATTCATCAGTCCTGATACTGACAAAATATTGTAGTGCTTATGCATTAACATAAATAGAGCAAAAATGTATTTTGAACCAAATGGCATTGTGCTGCTGGTAATTACTTTACTAAAAATACTCATGGCTTTCTTTAACCTAAAACTCATTCTTTCATTTGTGCAACTTTCTATTACTATACTATCCCACTATATATAAAAATATATACATTAATAAAATACATCAGTAGGAAATAATGAAAATCTCATTTTACATAAAACAACTCGATACAAATATGCTTTAAATACATTCTTTCATAAATACACATTTCAAAAGTTTTGAATGGCAAGTAGCAGCATTTCACCTATAATGTTATTTCAGATAATGATATTATGTTATTGTGATATAATGATATTATTATGCTACTATTTCTCCTGTGCTCCAAATAAGTTTTACCATAACACAATTTTTCTATTATTGGGGGTTTGAAATAGCCTTCTGTCAAAGACTGGCAGCTCTGCTAACATTCCTGGTCAGCAGTAATGAATGTTCAGTAGCATAAAAATGACTAAACTGGCAGGCCATTCTTCGGTTCTGCCACAAGGTCTTGCCATCCATCATGTCTTCCCTATCCATACCAGCAGGGGGCGATGAGAGTGTGGGATGGAAGCAGCGGTAATACAGAATCTTCACCAAGATGCCCAATATGTAAACAAGAACTAGTATGGAGACTAACCATATCGCGTAGTGCTGCGTCTTCTCTGAATCCCTGTAGCACCACCATGTGGTTAACAAGATGGCACTATCTGTGACCATAAAGGCATGGTAGATAACAGCCCTGCCCTTTGTATTCCCTTCAACTACATTGAACCAGCTGAAGTACCAGACCAAGCCCACAATGGTCCGGTACAGCCACTCTCCAAAAGTGCTGTCCATGAAAGCCGTCTTTTGCAGATGGGCCCAGAGGATCAATGGTGGCCATAGCAGCAAGAAGTGATACAGGAGGCAGTAGGGCAAAACGCTGACAAACAGGGCCACGCTGCATATACGCTGACCAATCAGCAACAGATTCCAAAGGAAGTAGACAACGGAGGAACCCCATCCTTGATTGGCTTTGTCAGGCAGAAATGAACGCATGGCACGGTGGTAGCTTACCACCATCCACGCAATGGAAATCATGGAGACTGCAGGACTGATATCTACAGAAGACAAAAGTTAAATGGCATGCTTTTATCACAACTGGCCTTGTGATGCAAACATAAGTTCTCAAATAAGGAAGTTAGGTTAGCCTGCCCCAAGTTCCCCACATGCACTGCTGAAGAAGGCCGTGTGGGGGGTGGGGGTGTTACTTACACTGGAAGGTCCCAACATGGCCGTTGTGCAGCAGGATGTAAATCATTAGTGTGAGCTGTGGGGTGCCTTCGCAGAACGTCTTAATGAGTCGCAGCATGCTGATATCATGGTCCATGTAGACCACAAAGTCTGAGCTCAGCCCCCCAATACACCACAAACGAACACCCTGCCAGACTGTAGAGATGTACCTGTAAAAAATAACCAATAAGCTCAAACACCATAATTCAGACACGTTTTCACAGATGTTGATCTTGTTTGAGCTTCACATCCACCAGACGTGATATAGACTTCATTCTCAGCACATAACCAGTAAAGGTTTCTTATAGTCACCAAGCAACTCTGGATGCCTAAAATAGATCTACTCCTTTCTGGAGTACGCCCACATTACGTACTCCAGCAATTGCATAATTGAAAATATCACAAGATTATTTTTTCCCCCAACGTGCTTTCTTAAGTTACAGGAATTACAGTATTAAAATATTAGGCTACAATGCCAGCCTGATTGACATAAGTTCTATGACGTTCTTACACAAAAGAAGAAAAGTTAAACGATTTACAAGTGAATGATAACAGAACATGAAAAAATTTACAGAACACGACGGGAAAAATCAAGAATTTGTAGCTAGCTGAACATTTTAGAAAATACATGCTTTGTTATTCCTTGTAGTTACCGAACTTAAATAAAAATAACAAATACCTACCTAAGATTTATCCATCTTGAGAAGTTCAGTCGTGAAAGTACCATATAAAAACGCAGACCATCATTAAACAGCCTAAATTACTAGAAAATAAGGGCTAAACTAACAGACAGATATGTATACGTGGATGGATGGCTAACTATGAGGCTAACTTAACGAACTCTAATATTTAAAAGTAACTTATCAGTGTCTTACCTGAAGAGAAATCCAAGTTGAAAGATGTGTAGAACACTAGAAAGTCGTAGAAATCTTTCAGTGCCAAAAACCACATTTTCTTCCGATGTTTTTGCTTCGAAACCATCCAGTTTTCGGTCGTATTTATACCACAGCCAGCTAAACGTCTGGACCACGACAGATGAGGAAACCATAAAAAAGATCCACACCCCGAACCAAATGAAATTTCCATGCGAAAAGAACTCACTGGCGACCCAAAAATCGGTTCCCACGTCGATTAAAAAAGTGCAGAATCCAGTGACCGAAAATACCAAATCTAACAGTGAATAGTCACACTTCGATCCTCCCATTGTGCCCTTTAATATATTAACAGTCATAGTTATTTAATCAGCTAGAGAAAGCAGTTCTGGCTAAAACTTTTAAAGTGTTTCCGCGATTAAGCGAACTAGCGAATTAGTTACGATCAAAGACGAGCGACACTCGATCTCTTCCACTAAACATTGAATCAACAATGAAGCGAATATTTGCGCGTCCCGTAAGGCTTTGTATTCCTCTGGTTTTAGGGAAACCAACCAAACGTAAGGAAGGCGGACATCTCCTCCCCCATCGCTACATCAGGCTCCACACGATGTACAGTAATGTACCTACATGCGTTATATCTCTCCGTAATCGGCTCGTCCGCTTTACGGTCCGTCTGCAGCCTGGCCCGGGAAGCACGTAGCATGAGACATGGGTCAGGATGGGACGCTGGTCCAGTGTATCTTATACACTTAACGTAAAATGTGCTTGTGCTCTCGGCAGGAACCGCCACAAACAGGAAACTCCATACAGACAGAGGACAAGCATAATAACCCACGGAGTGTACATGTATATATCAAAATGACTGCCAGTGACTGAGAGGAAATAAAAACGCCTCTAATATAGTTGCGATGTTTGCAACATCCGGGGCCGTTATGGACAGTGTTGTTTTCAGAGTATCTAGATGTAATGAATGACCGGGTCTCTTAGCGTTTTTGACAGTTGGTAACGTTGCGGGAGGGCTGGAGCTGGTCCCAGGATGCAGAGAACACGAGGTTCGGGTACACCGTAGACGGTATACCAGGCCGTTCGTGTAGCTGATATTATTATCAAGGACAGCCGTTGAGACTGGAATTAATTTTCCATTAAATGAGAAAAATCCCATGAAAGGAGGATGATATAGTAATTGCAAATGGCGTGCTATTATTTTGCAATAAACAATGTGGATACAACTAGGCCTATGACTTTGTTGGGCCGAAATGCTGTACAAGACTACACTTTGCAATGAGCATTAGAACCATTTTAAGTCAGTATGAGTCAGTTTTCTTATTAGATGTTACCTTTTTACCTAGTTATAACTGAATAAGCAAAATGTCGGATATGAAGCAAGGGCCTACATTTGGTTTCAACACCGGCAGCGTCCGCTAAACCCCTGTCCCCTAAATACACATGGTATTCCCTGGTACGGACATGCCTCTGCCGCTCGTACCCAAATGTACGCCCTTGTATTCTAGAAACAGAAAATAGGAAATAAAACGTTGTGTTGTTCGGATTTAAAACAATGCAGCCACGAAATGTTCAGATTTATTTTATATTTAGAAAAATTACTAAGCATAAAACATAACTGTAAAGCAGCAAGTACAGACTTTAGGACAGCATTTATTTGATATTTGTCATTCTGTAATTGTAATTCCAAAAGGTCAGTGTCATAGTATAACGTTTAGAGGACATAAATAATCAGTATGATTAACAGTTAACTCGCTGGATATTTCACACCATGAGTCCAGAATTAAAGACAACTGCCAAGATATCAGGTTATGCCACACATAATTTCTCCTGGAGATAAAAAAAAAAAAACCCAAATACTACTAAAATAATTATACTAAAATTTAAGCAAACAACCAGTACTGACAAAATAGCAAATATAAGGGATGTATCATATGCCTTGCAGAATAAATACATTTGATTGTAACCGCATAGTATAACAAAACGCGCGATGTAGCGGAAGCCACGCCCCCTGTGACGTCGCCTGAATGGGGAGGGCGCTTATCATCTATGCGCTCTTCGGCCGCACCGTGTGTTTTGATAGCGTGTAAAGGGGGGCTGCGTGAAGCCAGGGCCGGGGAAATGTCAAGAGTTTACATCGGCAGATTGAGCTACCGTGCACGGGAAAAGGACGTGGAGAAATTCTTTAAGGGTTATGGGAAGATACTGGAAGTCGATCTCAAAAACGGGTAACGAAAATGAAGGCCGAGGCAGAGTCCCGTTTCGGGCTAAGTGAAGCGTACATGCGCTGGGGCCTGGATTTAAGGGCCTGTCCAGTTGTTAGGGGGCAGCCAGCTGCAGACAGCCGTAAGCAGTTTAAAGGATGGTCTCATGGGCGGAATGTTAATATGACCGTAATTAAGTTCTTATTAAGATATTGTATATGTCTCTTTGTAAATGCGGGCGATTCACGGGCGCTCTCTGATGCGGTGCTTGGTAGCCTTATGGGTTAGCGAGCCCGCTAGCTTGATGTTCTTTTTGCTTAGTGCGATGAATAATTGCTGCGCGTACACATCAGGAGCTAGCTGCTAACATTTAATGCGTCGGCTAAGCTTTATTTTAGGGCGGAATTATTCATTCGTAATACGTGATATTGTAAATCGTATAATGCCGTCGAACGTGCTTTTGGCCGTGCGGCTTGCTACGTTAGTAGCGGGTCGGGCGGTCAGCAAACCGGCTAACGCAAGTTACGAACCGCGGAAAAAAACAACGTAACAGAACAGCGCAAAGCATTAAACCAGACCTTTGTAAATGTATGTGATTAGCCATCAACTAGCTTTGATACCAATGTTAATGGACGGATGTTTGTGTGTGTATTTTTTAAAATCTCATTGCTACACTACGGGAAGGCCCGAAAAAGGCCTAGTCTGATAGTTAATCCGAACTGTTACCGTACAGCGATGCGTTTGCGAAATGTGATCTAATTGGCTGTCGCCGCACAGCGATAAGCCTCGAAACCATTGTTTGATTGGCTACGCATGTCTACGGTCGCTCTGGACAAACGTGCCTTAGGTACCTGGCCGTAGATACTTGACTCCTGTGTGTGTTCGGTTTATGAACTCCCTGGAGGCATTTAATACAAATAGGGGTTTATTGAAATTCCGGGGCCCGGCTCTCTTGGGTCAAAATGAAAACCACGCTATTTCTTATTATTCTGGCTCACGATGGCACACTACATAACTAAACTCACCTGGTTGCAGTCTCCGGTGCACTAACCAGCTTCAATACTTGCCCTACTTACGGTGATTTCGTTGTGAGGTTTTGTTTGATTGGATGTGATCATCTTTAATTTCCAACGTTGCCATTGTTTTGTGTGAGGAATGCTTTTCGGGGTTTCAGATTATTTTTCCATTAATATCAGTTATATTCTCTGTGTGTTAAATCTCCCAGGCTGGGCCTTGGTGTTTGGCATGTGCTTTCAGTGGTGTCTCTGGTTCCCTGTAAAGGTATGGGTTTGTAGAGTTTGATGACCCCCGTGATGCTGATGATGCTGTTTATGACCTGAATGGCAAAGACCTGTGCGGTGAGCGGGTGATAGTGGAACACACCAAGGGTCCCCGGCGCGATGGGAGCTACGGTTCTGGGCGAAGTAAGTAAGCGGCCGCCTGGCCTCACATGTGCATATGTACACAAACGTGCACACAGTGGCTCTACTGTAGTCCTGGGATGCTGCAGCACCTTCTGCCTTTCACTCCTGCTTAGCTGAGGGTCAATAAAAATTTTATGGGTGGGGGAGTCGGGCTAAGGGGGAGAATCTAGGTGAAATGCAATGGTAAGCTGCCTATGAACCTTTAAATTTGTATAAATGGACATTCATAAACTATGGCCAAAAGTATGTGGACACCTCTAATTTCAGTAATTAAGCCAGCCCTATTGCTAATACGGGTGTATAATTAAGCACACAGTCACACAATCACCTAAAACAAACATTAGTGGCAGAGTGGGGGCGTTGTACAGGAGAGGTTAATGACTTTCCATTGGCACCATCGTATGACATCATCATTCCAACAAGTCAGTCTGCCTCAGTTCTGCCCTGCTAGAGCTGGCCTGGTCAACTGCAAGTGAGGTGATTGTGAAGGTCAGAACATCTGGGAGCAAGTTCAATGGTGAAGTGGTAGGTCGCATAAGCTCACAATGATATTGGGTGATCAGGTCCCAGTGGCCAGCTTGATTGGCAGCAAATCCCACCATCAGTGTTCCAACATGTAAAGGTTTCCCAGTAGGGTAGAGGCTGACCAAGTTCATATTAATACCTTTGGTTTCAGAACAAGATGTTGCACAGGCTTTTGTCCACATACTTTTAGTCATGTCATGTAATGTATATGTCAGGATAAATGGTATTTGGGGATTTGTGTCAAGGTTTCTGAACTGAGCAGGAATGAAAGAGTGCAGTACTCTGCAGCCTCTCAGGACTAAAGCTAGGAGGCAGACTGCTTCCATGTCAAGTTCCACAAATTTAGCATGTGAACATGTTGTGTTGCTCAGGCACGGGTTTCCCTGCCCTTGGGCCGACACGGCTTTGTTCACCAGCTGCCTCGATTGTGCTGTTTGGGTGGGTGTCTGTAAATTGACACCCAGGAACAGATTTGGCCATTTCTGATGCAAAACAAAATATTCAACCAGATTAATGATAATGATCTATAAGCTGATTGAATAGGCGCCACGTGTGCACGTGCATTTTACGCAAAATTTTTTGAAATGTTGGTTTGATGAATCCGTTAATATTTTTTAGTGTTCATTGCCAGTAATAACTGATTTTTTGTTTAGGTTTTTTCTCTTTTTTTATATTAACTTTTTTTTTTTTTAAATGTGACTGTTATTAACGCTAGAGATTTAACAAAGACCCTCAATGTTTTAATTGAAAGAGTCCTTTGAGGCTGACTGACTGCCTGCCCCTATTGCTGGCCTTGGGTCCCTTTCCAAGCGTGTGGCTCTTTGACCTTTCTGGGCCTCTGGCTGACCAAAAATGGGGAGCCATTGTGAATGAAGACCGCTTTTCCCATTATGCCCAGGTGGTGAGGATGCCATGGGGGATAGGGTCAGATGGGGGTTCAGTTCTTATAGGTGCTAAACAGTTTTTTTGATTTTGTTTCATTTGTCTCAAACTGTGTACTAGGACAAATACTGTAATTGGCCGTAAGTACTTAAATGATGGCCCCTTGGTTGAGAGTAAACTATATTAGTGAGTTGTAATCATACAAATTCTGTATGTACTTGAACACTAAATTATATTGTTATACAAATTTATTGTTACATATCTTAGACTTGTATACTTCTCCATGTTGTCATATATTCATTATATGATGGGTTAGGTTATACTCTTAAAATTGTAATAGCATTTTTGTGCCCTTTGCCTCTCTTCCCCAAAATCTAATGGACAATAGTGTTTAAATTGCAACAGGCTGGGGTTTATAGGTTACCATTCTGCCCTGGACTTGTCCCTATCTCTAACCTGTGCCCAATCTGTCCCTGTCATCTTGAAGGCTACGCCCGTGGTGGGCGGGATCGATATGGACCTCCAGCACGTACTGACTACCGGCTGATTGTAGAGAACCTCTCCAGCCGTTGTAGCTGGCAGGACTTGAAGGTATGGAAAAGGAAGTTGATCATTGTGGTTCATTTATATAGATTAAAGACCCTAGTTGGTGTGTATGAGCTAAATATTGAGTAGCTGTTTGCCCAGTTGACCATGTCCTCCTTTCCAGGACTACATGCGTCAGGCGGGTGAAGTGACCTATGCTGACACCAATAAAGGTCGCAGAAATGAGGGTGTGATCGAGTTTAAGCTGTACTCAGACATGAAGCGAGCTCTGGAGAAGTTGGATGGGACGGAGGTTAATGGCCGAAAGATCCGACTGATTGAGGACAGGCCAGGATCACGACGCCGGCGGTCCTATTCCCGCAGTCGCAGCCAGTCCCGGTAAGCAGTTTGTCACCTCTTTCTAGTGTTTCTGAAAAGGCTTGTTTGCAATCACACTCCCTTGAAGGTTGCTCTGGCTAAATCGGTATCCTCAGTGTTCTTCATGTCTGTGGTTGAAGGAGTTTTTCTTGTGTAACTTGTATGATGAAAGGAACCCAACCCAAGATGAATTTGACAATGCAATTTGTGGCTCTTCATGGCAGGAATTGTAGAGCTATTCCTCATCAATGAATCAGAGTGATGTTCCCTCCCTCCATCCCTAGGTCACATTCGAGGAGCAGGCGATCCCGTAAGAGCCGCAGTCACAGCGAGAGCAGCAGCCGCAGTCGCTCCCGCTCCAGGTAGGCTGGGGGGTGAGACAAGGCAGTGTAGTTTTTGGTAGCCTTGGCTTCCTTTGGTGTTGGTGCTTGTGTTGACTCAAACTTCCACTGGCAGGATGGCTTCCCGCTCACGTAGCCATACGCCTAGTAAGAGGAAGAGCAATGGGGCCCAAAGAAGCCGCAGCCGTGACAAGCGCCTTGGCCGAGATGAGGCCCACTCCCGCTCCCGAAGCCGCAGCCCTCGCAACAAGAGGAGCAAGAGGGAAGTCAAGAAGGGCCGCAGGGATGATTCTCACTCCAGGTCTCGCTCACGCTCCCGCTCTAGAAAGTCCCGATCTCGGTCAGTGAACAAGGATCGCACCCGGAAGTCCAGGTCCCGCTCTATATCAGGAAACAAGGATCGTTCCAGGAAGTCTCGCTCTAGGTCCCGTTCGGGAAATAAGGATAGCTCCAGGAAATCGCTGTCTCGTTCCCTGTCCAGGTCAGGCAACAAGGATCGTTCTAAGAAGTCTCGTTCTAGGTCTAAGACCTGTGATGCCAAAAGTGATATTGATGAGGGTGGTGCCGGGCCTGCCAAGGGTGACTTCCGCTCCCCATCCATGCCCCAACCCAAGTCCAGATCACCTTCCCCCACCAAAGCCCTGTCTCGTTCCCCCTCAGTGTCCCGCTCAGATTCCCGTTCCAAGTCCCGTTCTCCCTCTAAATCCCCCTCTAAATCCCGTTCACGTTCTCGCTCCTGAACAGCTATGCTGTTGCCCCACCCTCTCGTTGGTCCCAATTTTGTTTTTTGATAAATAGGATAGCTCTAGGATAACAGCACTCTCGCTTGACTTGTCTGTTAAAACACATGCACCAGGTTTCTTTTCATGAGTATTCTAAATTTATTTTCAGTAGCATTGTCTCCAATTAGAGTTGTTTGTAAAATATGAAGTGTGTGAGACTAGTTTGAGAGGGTATTGCTTCATAGACTTTTATAGGTTAGACGTGTCTGAAAATACAGTAATAGATGTCAACCTTTGTATGGCATACTGTAAAAGCATAACTCGTACACATTTGTGTGGGTGGGGTTGTTTTATTTTGCATATTTCACCTTTGTGGAAATCATTTTACCAGTTATTAAAAAATAAAATGCTTGATACCTGGAAATGGATTCAATTCACTATTTTGTGTTAAGGCTCAGATAGTTAATTTAATATTGTAATGTGTCTTGTTAGGTAGAGCCGTATTTGTCCTTTATCATCAATGCATGTTCACATGCTATTTAATGATACTGTGGCATTGTTTGTTTACTTTATTTCAGCCTTCTCTAAGCCTTTTAAAATGAGTCTTCAAACTAACGCCCAGACACTAGCACAATGGGTTCCTCTGACATTGGTACTCCACACATGGAATAAATGCTTTTTCACGTGAGAAATTGGAAACCACCGGTTTATCTGACCTCCATAACTGATTTTCCTGTATACGGTTGTGGTGGGCCTGGAGGTAATACCAGGAAGCCTAGGGGATTCCCTGGATGGCACAGCAGTCCATTGCACCTACCCACATGGTCTTTGGACTGCACTTCAAAACCTGCAGAAACACACAGCCTCATGACTAATGATTGGTGTGCACTGAGCTCCTGTCACTGCACTAGGCTGAAATAAAATGCTAAATGTAACCACAGTTCTTTCAGTTGCGCAGTTCGTATTTATTTACAGTTATGTAGTGCAATTGTGCTGACACACCTACTCTAAACCAGATGCTGTTACACTGAAGTACTTATGAGTGACTGCTTTAGAGTTTCTTTTAAATCTCCATAGCATCCAGTTAATTGAAGCATATGTGGGTGAAGCTGAATGCAACGTATATAGGACATCATTCATCTCACATATTCATGAACTTTACCAGCTTTGAGTCGTTAATTTGGGTGACCAGCTAATCCGTGTCAGGTAGGACGCCTTGAACGATATTTCAAAGTTACCATTTCAATTAATAGCACCTGGATTTCACTTAAGCACCGAGTTCTTGTGTGCTGATTGGTCAGTCTCCTATAATCATAAATGTGTCACTAATGTTAATGTGAAGCCGTTGGATGAGTCTTTCAGTCAAGGAAACAAACCAGTCAACGTGCAAGAAGAAATTATCTATTTAGCCGAGCACAAGAGCCTTTTAGTTTTAAAGTAGTTTCTAAAGCCTGCAGTAGCTCAAAGTGTCCTCCTTGACGGATTAGCTGGTCACCCTATCCCTAAATCACTTGAAATGTATGTTTTTAGAGTCTAGGACAAAGCTTTAATACCCAGATGTTATGCATATTTAAAAGTCACACACAGAGCAGCAGCTCTTTTGCCCCAGTCTCTGGAAAGGGTGTATCTTGTGTCTACTGTAGTGTATTACATGGATAGGATGTCCAGGACTGACCTTGGCTGAAAGAGCACCTCAGACGGAGGGCTAAAAGTGACGTCCCTGATGCAGGAGGCCCGGCGTAACCTTCAACAAATTAATGGCTAATGTGAAGCGATAGCGATGAGAATCAGCACCTCCCAATCCAAGCCATGGTACCCCCTTAGAAAGGAGAGATTTGCTTGTTCCAAGTGTATGTGGTGGTGAGGGGGTTCATCCTTAGTGCCTTGGGGTGTTACTAATTAGTTATAAGAGGGAATGTGAGATTCACAGTATAGATCAGTTCAGTGACTGCAATTTTGTGGCCATTGAGTTGATCCGTCATGGTGATGGCGGAGTTAAGTCACTTGACATGGCTCTCAGTTTACTGATCAATCTACCTTCAATTTTATAATCCATATCCTCACCTGTGGTCATGAGCTATGGGTAACAACCACAGTCAGTCATGAGTACAAGCTGTCAATATGAGGTTTCTCTGCAAGGGATGCTGGAGCTAACCTTTGTGGTGGAGTGAAGAATTTGGGGATCCCGAAGGACCACGAAATAGAACCTCTGCTTCTGCAGATTGAGAGGAGTCGAGTGACGTGTTTTGGGTATATATTAAGGATGCCACCTGGAGAGCTTCCAAAGGAGTGTGTAAGATGGGCATGTTATATAAGCCGGTACCGAGTTTATATAGAAATGTGAACATTCTTAAACCTTACCGTTAAAATAAGAATCTATAACAACAATGTCCATTCGGCTCGTTTGGTTATTTAATAGAGTCGGTTCGTCTGTAGACATAGCGTAGGCAATATAAGCTGTACGTGCTCAGTGAGGATTTACTTATGTAACATTCTCTGCAGATTAAGTACATCACCATATCTCGTCCAGCAACCATATTGTTGTTCTTTCTGATTAGTGGGTGGTTTTTCGTTTCATGACTTCATATTTTTTAAATTATGCATCGGTATGTTTTAAAATAAGCCATTTGTTCAATTGAAACGATTTTGTTACACTGAAATAATGAACACATTTTGGGCTAGGTCAGTGTCACGGAGCAGTATCCTTGGACTCCATCATTACACATTGAATCAAAATTCGGGTTTTTTGTCATTTTGAAAGGTCTTTTCTAATAGGTGTGTCCATTTTCCATGTCCACATGGCTTCTTGTGTTTGAAACCTATAGGGTGCAGCCATATACTCGCCAGTTATACCGCTGCACTCATGAGCACAGATATCGCTCCGCACCGTAGCCACGCTTCCGACTTGGTGTTTATAGCTGCTTTTAAGTATATTAAGCTTACATGCTGAATTTACTTTTTAAATCAGCGAACGCCTTTTTGTATGCGACCACATATTTTGCAACAATCGAAGAGTTTTTCTTTTATCATTTTCATTTCGTTGGGAGTCACTACATAATACATTATACAATTAGCTGTATGGTCTCGTTATTAGCTAAACCCAGAGTGGACGTGACTGACCACGCCGTTGTGATGGTTAGCATAGGAAATGTTGGGAAATCAAGTTATTATTGCAGCGAGATCTGCAGATATTGGGTGGAAAGCGACAGCATCATTTGTAAAGAGGGGGCACGCGCGGCGCTATCGGAAGGAGGAAAGCCGTTTTACTGAAAACTAACTTGGAATGTAATGGTTATATAAGCTGAAATTCCTGCATTCTCATATGTGACATTTCTTGCATCTCGAACTGAGGAATTTGGGGAAAGAGTGGCGCATGAGACCGAAGGATTCCCTCGGTATCCGTCACCCTCCTCTCGCTCCCCCAGCCGTTTTGCGTTCATTTAACAGCTACGGAGAAATGAAGCTGCACGGAGTGGTGGGGAGTATCGGATCTCGTAATGTAAATGGCTTGGGGGGAGACAAAAAGCCACTTCACAGCTGTAAGGCAAGCCACAAAATCGGATCCCGTACGATCAAGAGGGCATGCATTATTTCTTTATATTGTGTTTGAGAATTGGTACTAGACGTCTTTAAAGGTTTCGTTTGACCTACGTTTAACTTTGAACGTTCACTAAGAAACTTAAGGCACACATCTGTTTATTGACATGGCAGCAGTAATATATTAAGTGCTAAAACTTTTGCGCGTTTTTGAATGTCCGTATTCCTTATTAATTATTCAATATAAAGATTCTGCGTGTGCGAAATTTCTTATGCAGAAGTTCGGGATGTGTTGAAACTTTAAATCCTTCGCGGGAAAATAAGGCGATGTCTGGATTGTCCTTTCATTTTTTCACTCGCGATTATCTTGATGAGGGTTACAGGAAAGGTTTTTGTTTCATAAAGATGGACAGATGAGCGCTTGATGCATCTTATCATACTGTATGGCTGACAGACGCTAAACGATCAGATATAGGTTGATGTGGCTACAGCGCGCAAAGCTTCGCCTGGACTCATAAGGAATTTTAGATTTTGCTGCATTCGTTACATCACCCGTTCATACTAGCGATGGCTTTTTGAAATGTATCGCAGAATCGGAATATTGCACATTACTTTCCAGGGAACCTGCGTAATTTTCGGACATGACAGAAAACACTTAGCACACTGGGCGTACGCGCTTGGTAGTACAATAGAAATGACCGTCTATACTCCATAGAGCAGTACAAGTAGTGGGTCGGTGTTGAGCATCCTGAAATCGCATGGGGCGTCGGGCAGACAAGACATCGAGAAGAAAACAATTAAAACGCTGATAAAACGAAAGAGGTCCAGTGTGAGAACGAAGATCTGTTCTCTGAACAAGCGCGTTTCACCCGGCTCCGGGCACAAGCGGAGCGCATAGGTAAGTACGGTGGCGTTGATTTAATCCCATGTAAGAAAAGAGCTAACTGTAAGGTTGATCGCAAAACATTCAACTTGTTGAAGGTTCTTTTATCTGGCCAGTTATATATCTTGAAATGTGATGCTCCTTGATGCCTTTTCGGTTAAATGGGTTATCAGAACGGAGAGTTCACGTAGATGACAAGAAATTAGGTGGGATGCAGACAGAACGTGCAGCATATGAGTTATAAAAATATCTAGACAAAAGCAGCTCCTTCACCTCATCTGGAGGGGTTTGAATGTAAAGCAGAAGATTTCATAATTATTGTAATTATATTTGGCACTAGGCGGATGAAGTGCAAGAAGGATAAATGGAAAGTAATTTATTGGAGAAATAGGAGCACCTATAATATAGTGTGTGCACAGTAACAGCTTATGAAAAATATTTAGATGTTTGCTTAGATACCTCAGTGCATGCATCAAAACTGCTGTAATGGAGCAATCAGTCAGACAGAGAAGATACTTGGGTTTATCGGTAAGTGATGAAAACTGTCCCAGGAAGCTGGGTTGAGTTGGTACGATAAAGCAATTAAGACGCTGTTTATCTTCCGATTAAGACCTTGCTTGGAATACTGTCTTGTCTTGGTCGTTTCACTACACTATTACTGCTTGCAAGAGTGTATTTATTGAAGATCAAGAAAAATTGTCCACGAAGCCAAAAACATTGACTTGTGCCCTCTCTCCAGTCTGCTTCTGGGTGGTGCCGCAGGGTGCCATGGGGACCCCAACCAGGGGGGAGGTGCCACACTCTTCCGCTTGCCAACAGCTACCCCAGTTCAGCTTTTCTCGCAAGAAAACAAAGGCAGTTCGGGGCAAACTGCGCATGAAATCCCCACCTGGGATCTTCCTAATGCTGGGGGCCGTCGTTGTCATGGCTGGCATGATTGTTGCTGTGGCTGGGTACTGGCCACACCGGGCCCATCGTACAGCCCTGCTCAGCCAGGCCAGTGCGGGTACGGGCATGAGCGGTACCCAGGCCACTAAGTGGGGACAGGGAGCCAGAGGTATGCTGACTGTGACTAGCCTGGTGCACCACACCCGCATGAGGCTGTTGGGCCCTGTTATCATGGGAGTAGGGCTCTTCATTCTGATCTGCGCTAACACGGTGCTGTATGAGAACCGTGACCGTGAGACACGCCTACTTCTGGCCCAGACCCGCGGCCCTACCAGACCCATCTCTACCACAGTGCCACCCAGGGGCCAGCCCTGCAATTACCATTGGTTCACCAAGCTGACTGTTGCTGACCTTAACGTCCACCACTTAGGTCAGCAAGCCAAGTGTCAGACAGAAGGTGGCGGCAGTTACATGCATTACTGCGTCCAGACCGAGGCGCCCCCCCAGAGATCTTCATCGCCCCCCACCTCGACCCACCCCAGCAAGGCCTCCATCAACATGCTAACTGTAGAGTTCCACCTGGAGCCGCAGCGGAACTCCAGTGTGGCCAGACTGAAGCTCAACGAAAGCTTGGGGGAATTGGCACAGGACGACGGAGGGTTGAAGCTCATGGCTCCTACTGGAGGCTCCTATAGCTTGTGCAGAAACACTCTTCCAGTTGGGGGTCACGTCATACAGACTCTGGCTGACGAAGGCCTGGAGGATGCAGGCCTCCAGGATGTCGTGGACATTCAGGCAGCTCCGTTGGAGGCGCTCCCTAGGGAACCAGGGTCAGTCAATGCAGACCGTGACTGCAGTCTGGCGGAAAGCACAGAGGAGCGGAAACATCGCAGCTGGCCTCCGTTGAGGCTCAGCACGGCCAGGAGGTACTGGGGGCTGGAGAACAAGCAAGAATCTCTGGATGAGCTGCTGGACTAGCTGGAGCAGCAGTGTTCTCAGAAAGAGATGTGCTACATTTAAGGCGTTTCGAGAGACATGTTGTGGATGAAACATTTCGCTGAAGGTTAATGTCATGTGGGCTGTGTTTGGGTATATCCAGGCTACATATTTGTGCTGGTGTGGGGGCATCCATTTTGAGGATTGATCAGGTGTTTATGAGAATATCATTATTATTATTATTATTATTATTATTATGGTTGTTATTTCATTGCTTAGTGCTTTTATCCAAAACAACATATAATTTTCTTCCATTTACACAATTGGATGTTTTTCTGCAAAAATGTGGGATTCTCTGTAAGGGTGCAACAGCTTCTGCTACTGCTAAAGCTACTGCTCTCAGGATGTGTTTGACAGTTTTTTTTTTCCCGGAGTGTTTCTTTAAGTGTAAAAAGTCTCTCTATTGCCCTATATAAACAGAAGCTCTGGTAGGAGTCAAGTGGGATCGTTTGGCAGTTATAATTCCTGAGCAGTAGCTGGAACGAAATGCAGACCCTCCTGCTGCCATCCAAAGAAGAATAGATATAGCGGTTTGTTTCTGGGAGACATAGGACTAAACGATGAGTTCCTGGTGGCAGGTGACCACATCAGCCCGGGATGTGAGCTCCTAGACCAGGCTGCTCTGCCCCAGTCACCAGGAATAGACACTTACCCTGTGTGTTACTTAAGCCTACATCCCTTTCTGCCTCATTACCTAGAGCAGGATTTCAGGGAGACGAGGAGAGGAATTCCCCCGAAAGTTACATGTACAGAAGGGTCTGTGTTTTGTCACTCTTAACCCATGTTGTACATGTGTAATAATAATTCTATATACCAAGCAATAGCTGCGGACCGGTTACATGGTCTACTTAGGACATTAAAGAGAGCCATGTTAGTGTCACATTTTGTGTTTCTAAGTGTCTTATTTGCACAAACACACTGCCACCTTGAGTCAAAATTGATAGCAACATATTTCTTATCTGCAGAGGAATATACCGTCTTTCAAAAAATAGGGACGAGCGGTGACGTCCCCGGTACCTTTGAAAGCACGAGTGCGGCAGTTCAGAGTTGTTCTTTTTGGTTTTCACAGTGATTGTTCTCAGTGACGTTCATCGTTTGTTTATCCTTTAGAATCACTTAGTCACTGTGACTAGTTCAACTATCATTGGCTGTCATTGGAATGGATATGTTCCTGGGAAGAGGATGAAAACAATATGTCCGACCATGTCAGTCATCACTTCTTGTCATGTGACTCGAGCTGAATGGAATGTGTAAGTTTTTTGATTGCGTGGTTTTGTCCAGATGGGCAGTTTGTGACTAATGGGTCTAGTCAGCTGCCAGTTTGCTCTTCTTGCTGTGGCTGCAGGCACAGAGAATACAAATACTGTGTATAATTGTTTTTGCACTTCACCTGTATTGTGATGGGGCCTATTTTATATGTATGATTTCACCAAATTTCTCCCCTTCAGCTTACCCTACCCAGCGCTGGTTTCAGGGTGCTCTTACTCAGCCTGTGCCTGAATTTGAAGTATACAGTCATTTGCTGTTGCAAGGAGCCTTCAATAACTTTCTGGGTAATATTTTGGATTTGACACAGGGATTAGCATTGTTTTCTCTGTAATGTTATTTTCCTTGGAATCAGATTGTTGCACCAGGAGAAAACACAAGTCCTTATATCCCCAGCGCCCCCCCCGGCCGCCTTGCCACATCTGACATCGACATCGCCCGGGTCACATGGACTGGTTGAATGGTCAAATATGAGACAAGTTGCAGAATCGTGCCCTGCTTCTGAGAAGACAGGGATGCACCGTATGTAATGACTGCCTCAGCAACAAGGCAAAGGGTATTCTGTTCATTCAAAAGGCTCATTCTATATTTTGAGATGAACTACATGTAACTTTAGAAAGATGGTGAAATAGACGCGTACACACCCACATCCACAGCAGTTTCAGGTCTCAGCCCTTCAGTTGATCAACAAAAAATACGAGTGTGGCTGCAGAGGCAGGCAATAGGAATGGGTTGGCTGATCAGTCCCAGCTGATTCCTCCTGTCAGCTCAGGTTGTGTCAGATGTAACCTAGTGCTGGAACCAGGGGTTATCTGCCAAGAGCTGTGCTTCAGACACATCAATTCCCTCTCAGGACCCTACGAGGTTTCAGGCATGGTTGTCACAGGAATGTGCCAGCTTGCCAGTGCATTCTGGGATTCTGGGAGTCACAGTGGAAAGCCAGCAGTGACACCAGAAGTCTCTCAGAGTAGACTAGAGGTACATAGATAATAGGAGTCCTAACAGTCATATGAGAGTCATAGACGAAGTCACAGTAGGAGTTTAATCCTGCTGTGAGATACTGCAGGACCCTTAAGGGAATAAAAGCATTCAATGGCTCCCAGCATCAGCTACACAGGTACCCATAAGCAGGTCACCTTTTTAAGATCAAAGTGTAATTTGCCCTCTCTGTTCATGAGGCCATGTTCTAAGGCTCCTGTAGCTTGACAAGCAGAGCACTGTCCTAACAATGCAAAGGTGATGGGTTCAAGTCCTAGGGAGCTTACAAAGTAAAGTCCCAAAAAATGATCTGTTAAAGGGAGAACCTCTAAAATTAGAACAAAAATTGTCATTCAAAATTGTTTTGAAAACCATGACAAAGCCAAGAGTGGGTGTTGTGTGTGTGTGTGTGTGTGTGTGTGTGTGTGTGTGTGTGGGGGGGGGTGCAAATTTTGACACTGCCAGCTTTAGCACAGGAAGACCAGTCATACATAGCTGTGTTCATTGCGCATGGAGTTAGTGATAGGATGGGGTGGGGTAGGGAAAAAAAAATTAGAGGGAGGGGCTCAGAGAGAAGCTTGGCCAAGGAGGAGGATGTGATACGGCAGGGGAGTAGATGAGAGCTGGAATAATTCAGGACATGCAGATGAAAGACTTCTGTGGGAGGGAGAGTGTGAGAAAACTGAGAACCTGGGGGAGGCGTACAGAAGGAGAGGGAGCCAAAGGCACAGGGACAGGGAGTGGGAGGGAGAGAGAGAGGGAGGGGGGAGAGAGAGAGAGAGAGAGAGAGAGGGGGAGGGATGCCCCGGGGAGAGAGCGAGGCTCAGCGTCACATGGAGACTTTTCAGGGAGGACAAGCGGGTCACTTCTGTAAGTGGGTTACACGTACCCCATCCCCATGCGGACCCCTGGATTTTATGTGTCACACAGGGATTTTATCAGTAGTGTTAGGGTGTAATGGAACTTCTGACAGCCTAAAAGATGCCAAGCACACCTGTATTCGGCAGCAGCTTCGTGCTTTATTGGTGTTAGTATAAGGAAACATCCCCCGAGAAAGTTCACTATAGGTGTGTGATAGGTCTAGAGACTCAGAGCGGTATTAGACTAGGCCATTTCCTGCAGTGGTATTCATTACAGTCTTAGTCACTGCATACATAACTCACCTTGATACTATTCAGTTGTCACATAAGAAAACACGGCTGCTTGTGCCATTGGTGTTTCTACAACAAAGGTGTATGGGTGAAAGCTCACAGACAGTTTGCCACCTGACTAGGCATTTGGGGGTCGTGCAGATTAATGGCTTGAAAACAATCCTCCAGCTGCCAGATAAAGTCCTCTGTTAGGGACGGAAGGTTAGAGCCTCAGCTCGAAGATCAGCTTAATGAGCCGCCTCCGGATTTCCTCCTCTGGCTTTGTGAGCCAAATAATCTCTGATATCCTGAGCTTTGCGGCTGATCAGCCACCGGTGGAGCCTAACAGGATATCCAAGTTCGGCTCCGTGCGGGCAAACAGGTGGGCAGCCTGGTCCAGGTGCCCATGTGCCAGCATGGATAAATCATTTTTCCTTGTGTTTTAACACTCAGATTCATGCAGAATACAAAGGGGGTACGGACCTGCTATGGAAACGGAACCCGATGCAAACGACTTCTACAGCAAAATTGGAATAAACCATAATTAAACTGGCATAATTTTGCTATCTTCCAAAAAAACGAACAGACAGTGGTGTACTGAAACTCATAAGTACAAGCGGGACTGACACAGGAGATGCTATTTCCACCCTGGCAGTGATCCTAATCATTTTAGGATCCCAAGTGTGTGAGGTCTATTACCCCAGCTTGATTAGCAGTCTTACATCACTTTCACTGCAGACGGTTACATACATGTTCACAGAGGGACAACATAGAGCGAAAAGAGCTGCACCAGAGAATTTCCATTTATAGTAACCACTCAGAATAAGGTCTATTCCACCTAGACTATTGGGGTATCAGCTTTCCACAGACCTCCATAAGGCACTTTGTTCCTGAGATTAATGTCCTGCAGGAAACAGGAAGTGGCATCAAAATACTCAAAAAAACATGCCTGCGCTTAAAAAGAAGCAATGGACAGAAGGTGACCTAGCAGTTACCAGTGTGGGCTGAGGACCAGTTACTAAGCATTTTAATCTGAAGTTTCGCCAGTGGAGGGCAAATGGGTAACTGTAAATTATTTAAGTAACTGAAGATCAAAGCATTTCTACAGCAACTGAAAAAAATATTACGTGATGTGCCTAACGCAAGCTAAGAGTGTTTGATATCATCAGGGAACAAGACCACTGGAGAATCCTTCAGTTTGCTGCTATATCCGAGCATTTTTGGGTCATCGATGCCACCTGTTTCCATAATCCCAGCAGCTCCTTGTGACACACGTATTGGGAGATGGTGTCCCAGGTGTTCTGCAACACCTCTGCATCCTTCACTCTGAATAATACGCCACCCACGACTAATCAGCGAGAAGGGAACTATACGGCATTAAAATTCTGGTCATCAGAAGAGACACAATGTCATAACTCAGAATGAAGAGAGCCGGAGGCTGCTCACTTATGAATTTAGCTCCTGGAATGAATGAAACACATGGGACGTGATCCGGAATTGGAATGAACCGCAGTGACCCGATAAGAACAGGGAACAGTACGAGATAGAGAGTGGACAAGGACACACTGTGGGATGCCACTCAAGGTTCACGTCAAACCATTTTAAGTCTGAATTGTGCCACTTAAAGTCACTTTGAGCCTTTGAAGTTAATAAGGCAGGGAAAGGTAGAGGGAACAGAGGGTACGGAAAAACAGGGTCGCGCTTTACAAATCGGCCAGGCAAGGTCACATGACCTGAACCAAACAGAGAGACTAACACCAATGTGGCGAGACTGCTGTGAAAATATCACTCTAATTAAAACAGAAACAGGCCAAGAAATGTCTAATTAGACCAGATAACCCCTTATATTGGCACAAATAGCATAAACGCCAGCTATATTATTAAATGCAAGCAGTTTGTTTAATTACTTTTATTTATTCATTTTTCAGAAAAAGACAAGGAAAAAGTACAATGATCAGAAACATTCACAATGACAGCCAACTCCAGGGAACTGCACCAGGTGTCACTGTGGGTTTGCTATTGACGGAAAACCACAAACACAAACGTATGTGGCGAGCATCCCGCACAATCTCACGGTTCCTACCAAAACCACAGGGGTAAGATGTCAGGTGTTAGAAAATTCTCTACAGTTTTTTTTTATTTTTTTATTATATGACATGAAAACAAGCTGGTGAGGAATGCAAAGCTACATTTCTATTCTATACAGTTCAAAATGTTCAGAAAGCTTTACAAAATAAATTACAACTTTCTCTCCTCTTCACCCTGGCGGTGAAAAAATATATGAACGCCAGCCTCAATCAGGATTTAAACAAAGACCTGTGTGTCGGGGGCGGGGGGGGGGGGGGGTATTTAAAATAGCTGACAGACATTATAAGCTACGCCACCTGCTTTAAATCTACATCATAAGAGGTCCTCATTTAGAAATGGCAGACATTTCAGTTAAAAAAAGCTAAAACGCAAAAGAAAGCCGTAGTCTGCCCTCACCACCCAAGCTGCCTCACACATGAAGGCTCAGTGGACCTACAAAGGAGAGAAGCCAGTTCTAGCTATTTTCTGGGCCCAGGTACAGGAAGGCGCCCCTGCAGACTTCTTGAGATTATAGCCAAGCAGAGCCCTGTATAAAACAGCAATGACGTCACGGCCTCCCTCTTAAGCATCATATGGGGACCCTTTTCAAACCCTTCTCTGCATTACTCATGCCACATTTTAATGTTACCTTCCCTCTCCGGAAATTCGTAATGCCACACACAGTACATTGTGGTTAAATGCACAAGGATTACTTCGCTTCCATTTGTTTCACAGTTTTCCCTGTGTTGCAACAGCCTAATGCAACACTGTTGATGGCATAAACCAATCTGAGCAGACCATCAAATTTAAATACTGTGTTGCTATGGCATTTAAAATAGGATGAAAACTATCTCTGGAATATGAGAAGCTATTAACTCCCAATTTATGCATACTGGTACAAAACATACGTCAATGATTAGGGGAAAGTGTTCCCTGGTTAATAATACAGAATGTATCAAAAAACAAACTGTAATTTACCACATTTTCAGGCAGAATTCTCTCAGTCCAGCTGCAGTAAATCAGTGTGACCCAAGTTTGAGAAGTGTTAATATTATCATGTGTTATTGTAGGAATATGCCAAAAACTTATATGAAAATCTGCTCTTGATTAGCATTTTTTAACAGTAGTTTTACAGTTGGACTAATAAAAGATACATAGCAGTGCATACAACTCACTTCATATACAACTTTAAATTGCAATTTACCAGCAGCACTTTAGGATTTGGCAGGTGTGTTTTTATAGATATGTGCAAAATTTCTGCAGACACTTTTAATGACACCATGACCGTCAATACAACTGCCTTTCCTGAGGGTTCCCATAGCCACCAAAGTCACGTCAAGCTCCTGCCGCTGTGAGAAACCAAGCCATCTATCTACAGCGCACAACTACTATAGAATGATTTAAACAGAAAATTCAGCACATCACCACAAATCTCTGGCCTCTTTTTTATTCCTAGCAATCGGTTCCAAGTGAGCCACATCCCAGGTGCTCGGCCCAACCCCTAACGGTTCCCTGAGGAAGGAACCGCGCTCCATGCTGCCTCATGCTGCTCCATGCTGCCATATCCTTGATCAGTGCATTTGGCCTTTCCCCAGAAAAGCATCTGCTAAGCACATAAACAATGGAATGAGCAGTTCAGTTTGATTTCAGGTTCATTTGAGCATGGCTGTAGAAGTCAGAGATAATTCATACGGAGTGCAGCCTCTGAGCAGCCCCAGATTATGTCATAGGCTGGCCCTAGGATTGCTGAGTTCTCAGCACTCATTCTGTAGTACTCGGTGCTTGAAGTGAAGAAAAACAGATGCTGGTACTCCCCTTGTTATTGAGTACTATGTGCAAGTACTCCTCTTCCTATTCAGTACTTGGTGCCAGCACTCTCCTTGTTATTCAGTACCAGGTGCAGGTACTCCCCTTGTTATTCAGTACCAGGTGCAGGTACTCCCCTTGTTATTCAGTACCAGGTGCAGGTACTC